GGATGTTTATTGCATCCAGAAATTTGCAGGCCCCTTATTCTTGTGGGTTTATCCCATGGCTGTTGGCTTTGCTTCCCCCTTTGGTGAGGGAGAGGCCGTGCATCCTTCCTCCCCTTGTACTGCACTGCTCAGGCTCATGCAGTGCACGTGCACAGTGCACAGCGGCATTCGGAGACCCTGCAGCCTTCCAGGAGCATCCTCTGATGGCAGCCGCCCTGGGGCTGGCCCAGCATCTGGTTTCACTTCACTTCTTTTTGACCCAGCTCCTCGTTTCCCCGGCTGTATGGGTGGATCCCGCAGGCTGTCTGTCCACACTTCTGGAGATGCAGCCGCCTGGGGAGGATCCACGTCCTCATCAGCAAGGCCTGCGGCGGCTGCGCAGCTGGTGTGGCAGGGTTGCAGCCTCTTGAACATCTCAGGTGGGTACAGGCACGCAAGCCCAGTTTGCTGCCTGTGGGGCCAGTGCTTCGGGCTTGCTGCTGGTCACCCAGCTGGCAGTAACTCCTCCAGCCTGCCTTTCCTGCCAGCAAGGGCACCCTGCTGCTTTACCAGCAGTTTCTGGCTTATCCCATGAGGTTGTCCCATAACCCAGAGCTGAAGTAAACAAATGGAAGCTCATGGGTTTGGACAAAGTCTTCCCCCTACCCAGCATTTGCCCCTTGCTGTGCATGAAAGCAAGAGAAGGACCTGCAAAATAGAGCTGATAGGTGGAGCGGTCCCTTCTCCCCCTGGCAGCTATTCCCAGTGAGGCATTTTAAAGTGTGCGATGACAGCTCTGCAAGCCCGGGGCTCGTGACCGCCGGCCTGCGAGGCAGGGGAGGTGCTGCCAGAGCGCCCTGCGCTGGGCCAGCAAGGGAAGTCCTGGTGGAAGCAGGGTTTTTTTATCTGGGCTGCCTGGGCCTGGCATTTGAATGCTTGGAAATGCTCTTCTCCAGATGTTTCCTAGCACACGCCGGCTCTGTTTATAAACAGCTCCTCAAAGCAAAGCCCGTCGGGGCTGCAGGCGGGCACTTGCAGCAGTGGCCCCGTACAGCTCCCCTGCACCCCGCTACGGGGTCGGGGGCCCGGGGTCACCTCTTTCCCCTCCTGTCTAGAGGGGCTGGGGTGGTTAACAAAAGCCTGAGATGCCTCCGCTTCCTTTCTCCCGGCCAGCAGCTTCCTGCCCCGTTGCATCCCTGGGGTGGCCGGCATCTCCGGGATGCCTTCCTGCCTTTCGCTGCCGGGAGAGTGGGGAGCAGAGCACCCCAGAGCCGAGGCCGGCGGCACGCTGGGTCTGCCTGAACCACCTGTCCCAAGGGAGATCCCGGCTGCTCCAGGGGCTTGGGGCGGGAAGACAGGGGAGACCTCATCGCTCTCTACAACTCCCTGAAAGGAGGTTGTAGCGAGGTGGGGTCGGTCTCTTCTCCCAAGTAACAAGCGATAGGACGAGAGGAAACGGCCTCAAGTTGCGCCAGGGGAGGTTTAGATTGGACACAAGGAAAAATTTCTTTACTGAAAGAGTGGTGAAACATTGGACCAGGCTGCCCAGGGAAGTGGTGGAGTCCCCATCCCTGGAAGTATTTAAAAGACGTGTAGATAAGGCGCTTAGGGACATGGTTTAGTGGGCATGGTGGTGTTGGGTTGACGGTTGGACTCGACGATCTTAGAGGTCTTTTCCAACCTTAATGATTCTATGATTCTATGACACTTCCATTGCATCCAACCACGGTTTCAGTTCCTTAAAGGAAAGTGGTTGTCTTGGGAGGGGCTGCACCCCCAGCAGCCCAGCCCCTCCCTGGATCCTGGCAGCGTGATCATCAAGCCCCTGCAATTTCCGTCCCCCCCGTGTTTTGCCAAAATTTGAGGTGGGTGCCAAGGGCGGACGGCAGGCAGGACAAAGCAGCACAGGGCACAGGCTGGGTTAGCTGTTCAGCTCATTGCTGTGCTTCCCCGGCCCCATCTCCTCCAAAGAAAATGATGCTCTCATACCCGCTGCTCCTTCTTCTTCCAGCTGGGTGGAGGTGCCTTTCGACCACACTTTTCTCTGTCCTGGCCCCTGCAGAAGGAGAGAGATGAAAGTCTCCATTACAAGGACAAAAGCCGAGCGAAATCCAGGCTAAACAGATGCTGCCGGTGGCCCTGCCAAAATACCTTTCCCTCGGTTGGCCCGAGCCCAGCACTGGAAAGGCTGCGGCGCGGTGCTGCGAGCAGGTTCCCAAGCTGTCGGCGCTGCGGAGCCACCCACAGCTCGTCGCATCCTGGATCTCGCCCCAGCATCGCTCCCCGGGGACTGCCCTGTCCTCCCCCCCCAACCCCGCTCCCCTGCGGTCCCTGCACACGGCCTGGGGAGGATGGCCTCGTCACGCCAGCGCCGGGAGGAAGGGCTGAACAATTGCTGCTTGTCGGTCTGTCTCCTCTCCCTGCAGAAAAGGGTACGTTGCTCCCTTCTCGTTATCAGCCATCGCCAGGTAATCCGCTGGGGAACAGCACTGGTGAAAAATTGAGTCATTTGATACAGATCTGCTTTTGCCTCGCCACGGCCTGGCGATGCTGAGGCCTTGGGCGCTTGCATTTTTCCTATTCTAGCTACTTGCAGGGGCTGTAATCTCGTCCCTTAGCTTGGGAAGCGTGTTTTTGGAGGTAAGAATGTGAAAGGAGTTGGCTCCACTGCTATGGAGCTGGAAAGACGCCTCCCTCCATGACACTGCTCCCCCTCTCCCTCCTGCCAGCTTCCAGCATCATTTTTTGGGCACAGGGATAGCTTTCCTGGCACTGCTAGGGAGAAGCAGAGGGAGCAGAGTATGCAGAGGTGGGCTTGAGCCAGTCTCTGCTCAGACCCCTGGACCTGAGCACCTCGGGAGGCTGATCGGTGCGAGGCTGAGTCTTGTCTTTGCAGGTTGAGCTTCCCTCTAATGCTGCGTGGAGAGCGCTTTGCCTTCCTTTTCTCATGAGCATCCACAAGTCGTCTTTGTGGATGCTGTCTTTTAGCATGATGTGGATGCTTTTGTCTATCCCCAAGACATAACTGCTCTTTGCCCAGGCAGAGCCCTTTCATCTCTTCCCTGCCCTTTAGATCAAACAAGCGTTGCTGCCCACGGGCTCCAGTGAGGCAGCCAGTCCTCCACTCCCCTTCCCCAAGAGGCGTGCAGACGCCTGCTCAAAAACTGAGCCTTCCTTCCATGGGAAACTGGCGCTTGGAAAAACCCTTTCCGTCCTGAATCAGGTGAAAGGGAGCGGTGTAAAGACCCTTAATGAAATGAGAAATTTCAGAGGTTTGAATCTGAAGCGTCTAAATGGAAAGTTGTAAGGAAGTGATGCTGCATGGTGGTCGTGGTTCTCCAGATTGGGAAATAAAAAAGGTGCTCACGGTTGACGTTATTAATAGATCCACATTTTCTGCTGGGATAATTCTGTGGTGGCTGCTGAATCCCAGCTCTTGCCTTGGCCACTCTCGCCTGGGCAAGGCTCCTCGCAGTCCTGTGCTGTCCTGGCTCTTCTCGGGATCCAGCGGATCCAGAGGACAGGCCAGAAGGGTGGATTTAATAGTCTGATCTCTGCACAAGCCGTAGGATTCCCTGAGCTAGTGCTCGTTAGAGCTGAACACAGCTTCTTACAAGAAAAATTTCAATTTAAATGTTTGCAGTGGGGGAGTACCCACCATGACTCTGGAGCTGTCCCAGGGGCTAATGTCCTTGCATCTTCTCGCGTCTGAATTAGCCCAGCTTCAGCTTCCAAGCATGGGACCACTTTAAACCTTCAGGTGCTAAATCCACACCATCTACCAACAAATTCTTGTCTCCTGTAGGTGCACAGAGACTTTGGTTGGTGTCTGACAGATTCAGAGGGGAACCAGAGGCAGGCTTGGCTTATTCTTTCTAAGTGTTTCTCTCCAACATCTTCACAGCAAGGTGCAAAAAAACCTGCTGTAGCTTTGCCTTAAGTGTTAGGGTTGGAAGGAGAGCACGGTGCTGGCACCCCTGGGCTGTCAGACGTGGGGTGAGGGCCGTGGGTCCTTCCTGCCCTCCTTCGAACCGCAGGCTTGGCCAGCTCTCAGCTCCCCGGCTTTGTAGCAGAGATGCTGCTTGGGGGCAGAAGACTTTCAGTCTGAATGGGAGCAATTTTTTGGGTCGGATTCAACCCCAGTTGCTTGGGTAATAGCATTGGATGAATTCAATTCCTGCAAGTGGAAGCAGCCGGTGTGTGTATGGTGGGGTGTGCTCACCGCCCCAGGGCTGAGGAAGGAGCCAAAGACTCTTTTGGTCTGCTTGCTTAGGTTGTCTAAATTTTTCCCATTTGAATCACCCTCTGGAGTTAGTTTTGTGTATTGCTAGACTTGCACCGCACTTTTCTCCTTGGCAGCTGGAAATTAGCTAGTGAAGATTGTGTCTGCCAGAGCTGCTACAGCTGAGCCTTCCTAGGGCTGCAAATGCTGAAAGCAGTGCTTATTTAGCTAATGAGGTGTTGCCATTGGATTTCTGGTTTTATTTTGAAGAAATATTTCTGCCACTCTGATTTATTTCAAGCCTTCTTTTTGCACAGTCTCAAACTGGGGCCCATCTTTGATCCGCAGCTTCCCCATAATCAAATCATAGTAATAATGATGCTGCGAGCTCTGCTGCTGAGATCCCATTAACTGCAGGACATCTTCCTGGGATGTACCAGCCATGGGGGCACTTCTGGTGGTTCACCCTAGGCACTGGGGATGTGGTTTCATCGTCACGCGATCCTCTGTCCTGTTGGCTCACCAGAGCGATGCTGGTAGAAACAAAAGGGGCTTTAGGAGAGAGCAAGAAGAGTGTTTTGAGGTCTGGGCAATATCCTGTGCAGGGGGATGGAGAGAGACGCAGCCCATGAAGCACCAGGCTGCTCTGGGAGGCTAGGTGCCTCCAGCCAGCAGAATACAAGCACTGCGAGATCCCTTGGGTGGGTGGTAGATCCTGTGCTGTGATCCAGACTTGAGGTGGCTGCTCTTCGGGCTGCGCTCCCTGACTCCCCTGTTCCTGTTTTTCCTCTCTTTGCAGGCACACGTTCTGGCAGTATCGCCGCGAGAACCCCCAAACCAAAGTGGGAGACCCCCCTCCTGATGGGCTGCCCGGCTTCAACAGTGGTGTCCTGCTCCTGAACCTGGAAGCCATGAGGCAGTCCAAGCTCTACAACCAGCTGCTGGAACCCGCCATGGTGCAGAAGCTGACGGAGAAGTACCACTTCAAGGGCCACCTCGGGGACCAGGATTTCTTCACCATGGTGGGGATGGAGCACCCAGAGCTCTTCCATGTGCTTGACTGCACGTGGAACCGGCAGCTTTGCACATGGTGGAGGGACCATGGATACAGTGACGTGTTCGACCAGTACTTCCAGTGCGAGGGTGAGGTCAAAATTTACCACGGGAACTGCAACACCCCGATCCCTGAAGACTAGGGCACCTGCCACCCCCGGGAGCAGCTCTGACTGCAGCAGGCCCTGCAGAGCCATAGTGGCTGCACCAGCAGTCCCTTGGGAAGGGTGGCCAGCCCTGATCCGTTGCATCCCAGGGGGATCCCTAGGGATCCCAAGAGTGTTCAGTATCCCACTGCCTGTAGCCTCACCCCTGCAGGAGAAAGTGCAGTCCGGTAGTTGGAGTAGGGCATTCACAGTCACCGTGCCCGGGCTCAGCTCCCAGCTCTCACCTGGCTCTGCTTGGGGCAAGTCCACAGTGCCCGTCTGTGCCACAGCCACCGGGGCACGGGGACAGCCGAGGGCCTTCAGGCGACCGCTGCTTTTGCACATGGCAGGGTGCTGCTCTGGGCGTGCTCTGCAGCCTTGCCTTGTCTAATGATCAGCAGGAGGCCACAGCCAGGCAGTTGGGTTTCGTTTTGGCATTCGTCGGTGGCCCGTTTCTGCATCTCACGCAGAGCATCCGTCTGGTCCCTCTGGAGAGCAGACACCGTCCTCAGGTCATCTTCCTTTTGAAGCATTCCAGAAAGGCGAGAGGGTTTTAAAGACTGAAAAGCTGCTTTAAATTGGGTTACTTACAAACAAAAATCGAATGCTAGAGCTTTAAAGCCTCCCATTGGTTCTTTTTAGCAATAAAAGCTTTACTGCCCTATCTTGTCTTAAAAGCGTTCAGTGAGCGTGTACCAATAGGTTCATTTTTCTAGCTTTGCCTTTAACCTTTCATACAAGAATAAAGCTGCAGATGTAAAAGACACTCGGCTGTTTTTCTGTGGCACAACTGAAGTCCTGTGCGATAGGAGGTTTCATGCTCTTCTTATCATGATTAAAAAGTAGTTGATGTATATCTGTTGGGCAGTTGAATGTGGTGCCCCACATAGCTTCTTGCTGTGATTATCCCACATCTGTCCCGAGCGAGCGATGCAAATAAACGGGCCAGCACACAGACTGAATTTTAAAAAAAGATCATCACCACCGTAGCCAGGGTTGGTTTGGAAGGAGCCAGGAACTGCCTGTGCTGTGAATGAGTGGGCTTCAGGCATGAGCACTCTGCGCCCTAAATAAATCCTGTCTCGGCTGGCCCGGCCAGCGCGCGCAAGCTCCTGCGCAGGTCTCTGTCAGAGGGGGTGCACACACGCATTAAGCACTTTCAGCCCTGGTGGTTTTCACACCGAGCTGGCATGTGCCTGTGTGTGTGCACGTCTGTGTGTGCATCTGTGTGACGTGCACATGCAAGAGAGAGGGATGGGGACTTAATTATGGCTTAACCTAATAACAGCCCGCGCAGTGTGCGGCAGGAGTTTCCCCCGTGTCCGTGAATGAACGTTTCTCTTTACTGAGGGAGAGGCTCTCCTCCCTCTAACTGATGTAAGGGGAACAGCAGGCTGAGATGCGGGCTGCAGCCCTAACCTCTTTGATTTGCTGAACCAATCCATTTCTGAATAGCACACAAGCTCTGCTTTAAGTATTTTCACATCCCCAGGGAAGGAACTGTGAAGAGGTGATTAAGGGCTAGTGAAAGAAGCAATAGCCTGCTGTATTAGACTCACATTTTCACCAAAACACAAGGTGATCAGGCCTCGCTGTGTAAGACAAGGCAAGCAGCCAGGGTGCTGGAGGCTGCAGCGGGGCAGGATTCAGGACAGGCGATGCACCATGATGATGTACCCTGAAGGACGAGGAAGTTTTGCAGTGGCTCAGCCAGCCAGAGCTGCCGCCATGCCTGGAGAGCATGTGCCCTCCCAGGGTGTCTGGAGGGTCTTTGCTCGGTCGGTGCTCGCTCTGATTTAGGTTTGAGCTGGGTGGGGACGTCCTTGCGTTGCGTGGCCGGGAGCAGCCCTGGGATCCACCCACCTCGTCCCTGCCCTGGCAGTGCCATGCTGCTTTCCTGGGCTTCCTCGTGCAGTGTCACGGTCCCGTGGTTGGCATCGGCGCTTTGTCACCACCCTGGCATGTCCCAAGGCCCCTGCGATTGCCCCGAGCGGCTCCTGGGGCTGCCCCATGTGCACAGCCCCTGCCGTGCCCAGGATGCTGCTGCGGGGACTCAGCCCTGCGCTCGCTGGCCAGGGCACACCGGTGGCACTGGTGACACATGGGGCCTTGAGTGCCAGGGCAAGACCTTGCTGTTGGTTTGGAAATGGCCGTGCTGGAAATACAGGCCAGGTGGCTCGTGTCACCAGCCCTGGGGAGCGGCAGGCGATGAGCAAACGCAGCTTTTCCATGGGGCTGAGCAGCTCTGGCGTGGCTCTGGGTGTTGGGGCTGGCCCGAAAGCACCATGATGGGTTTGGGGTGGCACTGCCACAGGGTGACACCGAGGCTGTCGGCCTCAGGAGCCAGGGCTGCGTGGGGCACCCTCTGCCTGCGGCCAGGGGATGCTTTCCTCAGAGTTGGGAGCACCTTTCCCTCTCTGTGGGGTCCTGGGGGCTGCGAGGGGCAGGGTACGCCTTCATGCAGCCACCCTGGCCCCCAGGCTGAAACCTTTTGCTTAAGTATTTTGCAAAAAAAAATGTTTCCAGTTTTTTCTGAGCAAAACGGCAGTCCACTGGGAAACTCGCTGCATTTTTTCAGCTGGGAAAAACATAAGTGAAACATTTAATTCAGCTCAGGGTGGTTTTCCCCAGGCACTGCAGACGGCCCAGCGGCACGGCTCCACATGCACAGTGCCCGCACCCCCCGACCCGCGCGGTCCCCAGGGCCGTGACTAAGCGCCACAGGCAGCATGGACCTGCATGGCACTATATATAGACCCTGCACGCAGCCGGGGCCATGCTGCCTGTGTAATTATCTCCCCTTCATGCCCTGCTGATTGCAGGCACTAATGAGCTCAGCTGCAGAAGCTGCCGCAGCAGCCTGGGGCCGGCCAGCGTGGGGCTGCTGGCTCAGCCTTTTTGAAGGGCACTGCTGCCGGGTCCGCTTTGGGGCCGAAGCAGAGCTTGCTGTGCTTGGCCGGGGTGGCAGCACCCCTGCGGGCACACCACAGCCAGTTCCTGCACTCGGTGCCCAGCTGGCTGGCGGCTGCTGAGCCATCCCATTACTACCCTTTGGCAGTAATTCCTGGAAGAATGGGGACTTTCCGTCCCCATCCCTCCTCGCACTCCAACACCCTCCTGATGCACAGCCCAGCCTCGGGCAGACACTGAACCAGGCACACGAGGTCAAACCTGAGCATCCCCTCCCGGTCCCTGTGACACAGGCCTGGGGCCGTCACAACCAGCACTAGCAACCGCTAGCACAAGCACGGTAAAAGATGCTTGGTCAGCACTAAGCAGCACTAGTTTGCCCCTGGGCACCGGAGGTTTGCTGCAGTGACCCTGCAGCAGTGGCCTTGGGGCTGATGGGCAGCTCCTGGTCTCCAGGGGCTGGTGCCATGTCCTCGGGCCAGCGCTGGTCCCCTGCCTAGCTCAGGGGATCTGCAGACTCCGGAGCCCAGTTTCGGGTTGGTTGGGGCCCCCCAGAGACACGGTGGGCAAAAGGCAGCCCTGGGCAAGAGGCACATGGGGACACGCTGCTGTGACACGCAGTGATGGGGGGGGACACAGCTGTGGGGAGCAGGGGACCGGCCCCGCCAGCATGGGCTCTTGGCCGGGGTGGCAGCACCCCTGCGGGCACACCACAGCCAGTTCCTGCACTCGGTGCCCAGCTGGCTGGCGGCTGCTGAGCCATCCCATTACTACCCTTTGGCAGTAATTCCTGGAAGAATGGGGACTTTCCGTCCCCATCCCTCCTCGCACTCCAACACCCTCCTGATGCACAGCCCAGCCTCGGGCAGACACTGAACCAGGCACACGAGGTCAAACCTGAGCATCCCCTCCCGGTCCCTGTGACACAGGCCTGGGGCTGTCACAACCAGCACTAGCAACCGCTAGCACAAGCACGGTAAAAGATGCTTGGTCAGCACTAAGCAGCACTAGTTTGCCCCTGGGCACCGGAGGTTTGCTGCAGTGACCCTGCAGCAGTGGCCTTGGGGCTGATGGGCAGCTCCTGGTCTCCAGGGGCTGGTGCCATGTCCTCGGGCCAGCGCTGGTCCCCTGCCTAGCTCAGGGGATCTGCAGACTCCGGAGCCCAGTTTCGGGTTGGTTGGGGCCCCCCAGAGACACGGTGGGCAAAAGGCAGCCCTGGGCAAGAGGCACATGGGGACACGCTGCTGTGACACGCAGTGATGGGGGGGACACAGCTGTGGGGAGCGGGGGACCGGCCCCGCCAGCATGGGCTGGCTGCAGGGAACAGGGCCATTGCACCCCACGGGAGAGCTGTAGTGGCCCCGGCCAGGGCCCGGGAAAGGGGACGGCAGGTTTTACACCAAGGTTACTCAGCTCAGCTCCTCCGTCACGCCTGTGGGCTTACTGCTCCTTGTCTTCTCACCCGCTTGCTCACAGCGAAGTGCTGCTTGTACCGAGAGCTCCATGCTTTTCCAGGACAGAGAAGGAGATGGGAGAGCAGAGGGGTCTCCTTGAACTCTTTGTAGAAGATCAGGCTGTGGAAAGTAGCTCTGTAGCTTGAGCTTAAGGAGAAAATTAAATTTCTTTCCTTGTATCGTTCAGCATTCATGAGAAATTGCACGTAAAGCAACCAGTATCCCCTATTTTCTGGCCAGCTTTGCTTTCAGCCCCGCACTTGAGCTGCATGGGATTTTTGCTCTCCTCTCCTGCATTTCGTAACACTGCCAGTGTTTATTCTCTTACTCATTTGTACTTCTTCCCCATTTAAAATGATCAATTGTTGGTATAAACTCACCTAGGGAGCAATTACTGTAAGCCTAACCCAAACAGGCGCTGGGGGTGCTCCATTAAGCAATATAACCGCCCTCCCCTCTCTGCTGCTCCCAGAGGATACAATATTTACTTTTCAGCTCTCTGCTATTCATACCGAGCGCACTCCGGTCAGTGTGCCAAGAATAACAGAACCATAACAACGGGTTTAAGCGCTAAGATGGAGTTCCTGACTTTGCAAAACAAAAAAAAAAGCCAACCTATTATTTTGCCTCCCCTAAGAAATGCCTGGCTGCAGCAAAGCGAGCGGGTGCCCGAACCACCCCTCTGTCTTCAGCAGAGCTGTGGGTAGTGTAAAATCTGCCCCGAGGGAATGCAGAAAGAGGCAAAAAAAGAGCAGTAAGCCTGGGACACAGGTTGGTGACTGCCGGTTTTTCCTTTTAACGCAGATTCTTATTAGGTTGCTGCATTGTTTTGTGAGCTTTTCCTCAAAAGCTTTGCAGAGCCATGGAGGGACACGTTCCCTAGCACCTCGCTTGTGAATATTGCAGCCAGGTTTTTAGTAGCTCCATCTCTGACCGTCATCAGCCTCTGTGGCTTTAATTACTAGTTGCTAAGAAATTGCTGCCAGGTCTTGTCAGTCTTTTCAGTGCCGTCAGGGTTCAGTTTGCGCAGTTCTCCTCTGGAAATTATTTATTCGCTAACCAGCTGCGAATAGGGGGAGCACTTGGAGCAAATTACCTTACTGCGATATTTCACAGGAATTAGCTATATTGTACCTAAAGTCTCAATGTTAATTTAGGCAATTTGCCTGTCGGAAGAAAAAGCTGAAACAAAGCAGAGTCTGGAGCTGCCAGAATTAGCTGTGGGTTTGTCCCTGGCAGGAGGCTTTGGCGTTGCCCAGCTGGGGAAGGAGATGCTCAGATTTGAGGGGCGTTCCTGAGAGCCAGATGTGTTTTTTCCTGGGGCAGATGTTGCTCGCGCTGCTGTTGTGGCAGGTAGGAAACCCTGCCCTGGGGCTCCAGCTCCCCTCCGAACAGA